TTTGGTAGTGTTCTGACAGAATACTGTAACTAAATACGCAGTCTGAATAAGATATGCACATAGCATTAGAGTGCTGTGTGCATATGAGCAAAAAAAGCTCAAGATTATGTGGAAGATGAACCATTTAATGATGTCAGTAAATTCTCAAGTGTTGCTGACACACCTTGAAAAGGGCAGATCTTCTGGAACATCATCTATACAAATACAGAACTAGTAAATTAAAGACACCTCTAAGTTTTGGCCTGAAACAAAAATTTTCTTTCCACATTCTCCTATGGCCACTAAGTTATAACTGCAGGTCTTTAAACTGCCATTCAAGTTCACTGCTGAACTTTTATTTTCTGATTAAATGAAATTTCTGTACCTTTTTTAAAACATGAGCTTCTAACCACAGCATCTGATGAATGAGGTATTACCCTTTGACTCCCACAGCACCACAATTCATAAAATATGCTGCAGTGAAATGAGTAAGAATGGATAAGGAATAACATTTCCTAAACTTTAAAAAAAATCAAATTCTCAACCACACACATAGTCAAAATATACACAGCATATGTCACTAGTTGATTTGAGATATCAGTTGCAGTTTCTAAGACATTTTTCTATATAGAATCTTAATTTTGGATTTGTAACTAACATTTTCAGGTTTATGCATGACAAATGCCCCAACTGGATTTTAGTTACTACAGACTGACCATTGTTGACTGCTCAGTCTTAGCTCATAAGGACCCTTAAAATTTTTTAAGCTTCTACTAAACTTCAAGATGTGCATTACCTTAATTTTTCCTCATACTCAAATGAACATGGTTTATTTCCTTCATTTTTGAGCAAGCTCTGGGAAGACTGTAATTTCAGAGTCCAAATGAGCTCCTTCATTGACAAATATTGCCATCTGATTTTGAACACAATTTTTTACAGATTAGTAAATCCTAACTGGACTAGTCTCAGTGGAGGAATCCAGCAAAATCCAGTTTGCACAAATACAGTTTGGAACTAGTCAGCATCAGAGGAAACTGGATCATAAAACCATGAACACAATGGATTGAAGAAGTTGTAATAGCTAAATCTACTATTAGTCAACCCTATGAGGAAGAAGAAACAACTTATTTCGGTTTGTCAACTTTTATCTTAAAAATTAAGATCAAACTCAAAACCTGAGACCTTTCCTACCCCCAGCTGAAGTATTATCTCTGGCTCCTTTTTCATACCTATGAGTGCTGAAAACAAGGCCAATATCCCAAAATATAAGTGAAGTCATGCTTGTATGATTACAGGCATTTGACATAGAATGGATAGTTTCACCCTGACAGAGAAACATACCTGTTGGTAACAGGTTTTTCAACATCTAATTATCATGCCAGTTTTACTAAGGATATGAGTAAGCTTTAAGTGGAATGACTACATAAAGAACAATGCACTGAAGCAGTTACACTGCAAGCAATGCACACACTAACACAGTGTGAAATACTGACACAAGTAATGTGCACCACCAGTTCAGGTATGTAATAAAGTATTATTCACTCATTTTTCTCTCTAGCACTTGAGCAAACGAGAAATGGATTTCTCATGAGCATTAAGTTACTCAGTTTTCTCAGAATTAAGTTTTACTGTCTGTACTTAGTACACAAGAGTCGGTTTTGTTAAGATTATCAGTTTGAGTCTAGACACCAAGAATTTTTGAACTGCACAATCAGCATATTTAGCTCTGTGAGTCCTCTAGCTCTCTTCCAGGCTCTGGTACTGTTAATACTACAGGCCTTGGTCCTGTAACCTAATGTGCATAGGATGATTATAACCATTGGGGGTTCTTATGGCAAGCTCATTATGCTCAGAGAGAGTACCCAAACTTTCTCCATGCTTCTGGTTACCACAGTCACCAGGGCAGTAACACATCACAGGTCTCTAGGGCGACATACCCTGCTGAAACCTGCACTGCCAAGCCTCGCAAGGACTCTCCACGCAGTGAGAAAACCCTCTGACAGACAACCATCCAACAGTTTCACTGTTACCGAGGGGAAAGAAAGACACTATAAAGTTTCTTAAATACACTGGATTTTCTGCAGGAAGTTTGAAAGTTATTCTAAGTAAAACCACAAATAGTTCCACTTGTTATTTAGATAAATGAACATTTACAAGGCGCAGGCAAACAGCAGAGGTGATAAGAAGCCGAGGAGGACACAGAGAGGCAGCAAACTCCTTCAAGTTTCTAACCGGGCGGTCAGCAGCGCTGCGGCCCGGCCGGGCTGTGGCAATCTCCATGACACCGCAGCTCGCCGGCCGCAGGAGTGCGGCACTCTGGGAAGCGCCGCTTCCCTGCCATCTTCCTCCGGCCGCTCTCGGGCTCGGCGGCGGCTCCGCCGGCCCCGCTCGCTCCTCACCCTGGCCGGGCTAAGGCTGGGAGACTGCGGGCTGCCCAAGGTCACACCGCCGGCTCCCCGCCGGGCCAGGCCCGATTCTCCCCGCGCGGCCCGGACCGGCTCCCCCGTCCTCCGCAGCCCCTCGAGGGCCGCTCCCCCCGCACGGCGGGGCTGGGCCCGGGGATCCCTCCAAGGGCGCCCGCCCCTCCCGTCACTGCCGGAGTCCCCCTGCCCCGCAGTCCTCGCTCCCCGCCGGCCCAGAGCCGCCCCAGCCGCGCACTCACCGCCGCGGGGACTCGCAGCCTCCGCCTGCCGGCCCGGGGCAGGCCCATGTCCGAGCGCGGCTGCCGAGGAGACGCTACGCGGCCATGGCTGCTAGGGCGGAACTCGGCGGCGTCCCTCCCTCCCTACTTCCCTCCCTCCGGCCGGGCCTCCGCTCCCCGCGGGGGCGGGGACTGTCACGGCCCTATCGGTGTCGCGGGGCCGGCTCGGGCCGCGCGGGTGCCGGGAGGCCCTGCCGATGTCCTGCGGAGCGTGTGGGGCGCGGCAGCGCTGGGGCGGGCGGGGGACGCAGACCCACAGCCGCCGTGGAGCTGCCTCGGAGCTGGGGTGGCTCCGGGGGCGGTGTGAGAGGAGGGAGCCGCGGTGACCTCGCCCAACTCCACCCGCCGGCCCTGGAGAGCGTTCCGAGGCAGCGCGCGGTTGCCTGCCGTGCCCTGCCAGCCTCCGTGGGCTGCTGCCCCGCCGGACCTGGCTCCTCGTCTCGGGAGCGGGAGATTTCTTACTGTGCCCAAGGCACTAAGAGTGGGCTCTGGGGTCTGTCACAGCCTGTAGGGCATGCCAGCGTTTGTGTGGGGCGTTAAACTGGCGCACTGCACCGTGCAATCTGGTGCGGGAACGCGAGACACCTCTCTTTATAAAAATATTCCATTTTTAGTTTAGAGAAAACTGGATTGATAGGGGACGTTCCAAGTTTTCTGTTGATGACAACGTTTTCTGTGCACTTTGTGTTACTACAAGCATCGTGTATGAGGGATGGCAGGTATGTGTGGACGTGCTGGGAAAAGGGGAGAGGCCGGTCGTGCCATGGAGATCTTGCACAAATGGAGGAGAGGCTCTGTGCTGCCACAATCCCGGCCTGTCTCCCAACTGTGCTGGAGGGTGAGGAGATTCAACAACTACATTTCAACCTGGTACTCAGTTTTGCCAATGGAAATGTCTTGTGAGCTGGAGCAGTTTCCATCAGTGACTTTAGGAAACAGGGAGGTTTTGAAGCCTAAACAGGGAAGTTTAGAAAACATGGAGATGCCTCTCTCCATGTAGCCTTCCAAAATAATTCTGTGATATAGTTCAGCTTCCTTGCCCAGGAAGCTGAACTATATCACAGCACCTAGTGGTACAGTAACTTTGGTTGGTACTGGCCACATGAAAGGCTCAGATAATTTCTCCATCTGTAGTTTGCAGCCTGTGTGAGTGATCAGGCATGTGAAAGGTTCTGGGAGAAATGAGAACAGTGATATGTCTCCTTTATTGTGCAGAAAGGTGAATACCAAAGTAAGTCAAGAGATTCCAAGAACTTTAAGCTGAACTGAATATTAATAACACCATGCTCTTGTAAGTGCCTTTTTCAGACCTGCTCTATGTGTTTTAGCAGGGTGGGTGATGCCAAAAAGTTATGACAAGATGGAAGGGGTAAGTTCACTGATGTCAGTCCACTGGTGTGTACAAATTAATGTTGACTGTCATATTCACTGCTATCCAAACTGGACTCAGAGAACCCCTTTATTGTTTCTCTTATATGAAAAAGTTGCGTGATACAATCTTTGGTTTTACTTGTATGGGCAAACCCCAGCCATATATAGAAAAGTGTTTGGGGAGGAGTTGCCTATGCAATTAGCTTTACCCCACTCCAGAGCTTGTTAAAACACGCTAATAATGTTGATTAAGTTATAACATGCTGTGGTTGCCTCAGGTTAGAACACATTTTTCTATCAGCACGTATGTTCTTGTGTAGCCGTATTAAATAAATAAAATAATTTTAGTAGAAACTGGTGTGCTTTTTAGTAGAATGTATTATATTATTTAGCTAAAAGAAATTTACATCTTCTAAAGCAGGGTAAAATAGAAACCATACTTTACAGATGTGAAATATGTTCTGACTTGCCTACATCCGACATCCAGTGTCTCTCTCTTACATGTAGTTTTGGTGAATCCTGCAAAAAAACTAGACATGATTATTTTGTGATCATAATAATGAAAACTGATACACAGTGCTAATGGACTAAATACAGACTGCATTCTTCACCTCTTTGGAAGACTGCCATTAATATGGAAAGTTTGGCTTTTCTGTAGCACTGCTGCTAACACCACAATCTTCCTATTGGCAAACGCCTGTGAGGACATTGTAACATTTTTTGTGTCTACCACTACTTCCTAAATGAAAAGTCATAACATCACATGCTAAATCCTTTTTGAGAGACACAGACACTTGTCAACAACAAAAGAGAAGTGTGCTGAAGGTTGGATTTAAGGTTTCCACACCCTTGGGTGACCAGTGGCAGCCCTAAGGTGTTTGGATTTGTTCTCTAGTGCCGCCTTCTGGCTGAGCATGCCCAGAAAAAACCACAGGTGACAGGAAGAAACTGCTTGGAATATTGTTATTTGTATTTTGTACAAAGCTGCATTAGGTAGGTCAAAGGCAAATAATAATGGCTCTGTAAACAGCGTAAAAATCCTCTGATTATCTAGTGGGTATTATAATCTCCAAAATAACAGACTGGAATTTTGTCGTTGGTATGTTTTCCTGAAGGATGACGATTATGAGATCCGTGCTTCACAGTAGCAGATGTATGACTCGCAACAGCTTTGGGGAGAATGTGAGCACAACCATTTTGTAATGTTGAAGCAAAACTGGGAGACAAATGTTTCAGGGCCTGGGCTGTCAGGTCCAGTACCAGCCTGGGACTGAAGGCCAGAGCCCTCTGATGGAGCAGCAACAACTGAAGACTATTTTGGAGCTGTAATCCTATCAAGTCCTATTTCTATGATCCCAAAGTGTACCTTCCCCCATATTTGCAACTGGTGAGGCAACACCCTGAATACAGTTCTCAGACCTTTCATTTAAGGATATTTTGGGGCTGGAGCAGGTCCAGAGAAGGGCAATGAAGCTGGTAAGGGACCTGGAACCCAAGTTCTGTGAGGAGCAGCTGAAGGAGCTGAGGGTTCAGCCTGGAGGAGGCTCAGGGGTGACTTTACAATGTCCAGGTCCGAGGTTGTGGCCGTGTGGGAGGGAGTCAGCCTCTCCCAGGTAACCACTGCAAGAACAAGAGGACATAGTTTTGAGTTCTGCCAGGGAAGGTTTAGGTTGGACATTAAGAATTTCTTCACAGACAGGGTGATTAGACATTGAAACCGGCTGCCCAGGGAGGCGGTGGAGTCACCGTCCCTGGGGGTGTTGAAGGGAAGAGTGGCCCTGGCACTCAGTGCATTTGCTCTAAGCTGACACGGTGGTTTTGGGTCACACGTTGGACTCTTATGATCTCTTGAGGCCTTCTCCAACAGACTTGATTCCGTGATTATCTCTAAAGCCCTGCCTCAGACAGGCAGGGCTGCGAAGTCCATGCTCAAAGAGCGTACCCTCGCCTGGGAGCACAAGCAGAGCTCCAGCAGCCAAGAGGCGGGAAACGCAAGCCTCACCATCCTGTGCCACAGAGTAACCCGGGATAGCGACCCCTGTCCTCATTCCATAAGCTGTCTCTAGGGAGGCCGCCCAGGCCCGGCGAGAGCGCGGGGCCGGCCCTGCCCCCGCCGGGCGGGCAGCGGAACGGAACATGGCGGGGCCCCTCCAGCCCGCGCTTCCCCGCCTTTCCCCGCGGCGGCGCGCATGCGCGCTGTGCGGCGGTGAGGCCGTATCCCTCCGCGCGCCCCTTTTCCCTCGATGTCTGTGTTAATAAGGTAATTCCCGCGCCCATGGTAAGTGCCGGGCGCCCCTCCGGGCCCGCCCGGGGCGCCCCGCGCCGCCTCGCGCCCGCCCGCGCGCCCGCGGTGGGGCAGAGCCGCGCGGAGCCGCGCCACTCCCCTCCGCCCGCCGTGTCCCTCCGCCGGGCGCGGCGCGGACTCTCGTGTGGGGCTCTCGGCCTGCGGAGCCCCGGGTCGGTGCGGCGGCGGCGGCGGCGGCCGGGCCGGCAGCACGGTAAGGGCCCGTCCCCGCGCCCCGTCTCTCCCTCACCCCCCCGGGCCGGCCAAGCTTTTCCAGGTCAGTCTGCGCCTTTGTATAGGGCCCTGTTACCGGATGTGGAAGTTGATCTCTTCGCTGGTAAAAAATAATTCCACTTCCCCCGGAACCCGGCGCCGCGGCTCCCTCCGCAGCGCCCAGCCCAGCCAGGATTTCCTGTCGGGGAGAGCGGGCGGCCGGCCGGCCTTCCGGGGACCCCGCCGCGCGGGGGGCGCGGGCGGCGCGCTGGGCCCCGGCGGCGGCCTGGGCGGCCCGCGGGGCGCGGGCGAGCGCGACGCGCCCGGCGAGGGCCCCGGGAGCTGAGGGGCAGAGCGGGGCTCGGCTCGTCCCGCGGGTTTCTCCGCCGGGCAGCGCGGTGTGGGCCGCGTGGGCACGGTCCCGGGCCCCGGGGGGGCCGGCGGGGCCGCGGCCCGGGCTCCTGAGGCGGCGGGGCTGCGTGCGCGAGCTTGGCGCCAAAGGTGCCCTGGGGAGAGGCGGCTCGGGCGGGAAGGGAGCGGTTTCCCCTCCGCAGTGCCCCTCACCCGGAGTCTGTAACTCTTGCTTTGGGCTCTTAATAAAGCGTATGATGGGAGCATAAAAGTGGGATACGATGTGTTAGTGCGGATTGTCGTTTTTTTTTTCTGATTTCCCCAAATAGTCAAAGTAGTTTCCGTTGGTGGGACACTGGTGGCACGTCGGTGAAATCCCCTGTAGGAAGTCGTCTGTGGTAGTTCTTAAGGCGTTTGTGTATTTTCCTTTAACCTTCTTGCTAAGGTGGCTTTGATTTAACGGTGAATGCTCCATAGTAGGGTTAAATGTGCTCAGAGTTGTGAATGCATACCCTATAGTTCTTCAGCCTATTTTAAGTTACTCGTTACTTCTGAATTATTAGTAAGACTGTGCAGTTGGCTGAGTTTTGTATGCATACAAGTATTTGTAAGGGAACATAACTGTGCCTTGTGAGTAAGGTTAAGAGTATATGTGGCAGATCAGCATACTCTAAATAGAGGCTCTTGTTCATGACCTACTTTCTTTGCTGAAAACACTTTGTTTTCTAGTTGGAATTTTTTTTAGGCCTGTGTGCTAGACAGAAACTGTCGAGGAAGATTCCTCATGATAAAACAGATGTTGTAGGTAGGAGGTGGATGATTTTTATTTGATGGTATTTTCAAGCTTAATCAATCTGAGATGGTCTCCTAAGGCTGTGGCTGTGGTACAGTTCAAAGGCTGCATCACAAGCCCTTGAATTCTTCATGTCAATCACAGCTGCTGCAAATTAACCTTTTTGGTATCTAGTGCCAAATTTATTTGTGAAAACTGTGTAGCTTGTTGGCAGTGCCAGTCCAAATCTTGGTGCCAATGGTTCACCCTTGTTGCATAACACTCTTTAGATGTTACAGATCATGGCCAAATCTGTGCTCTCCTTTGTAAAAAAAGATGTAGAAAAGTATTTTTTTTATTTGAGTTCATTGTTGATTGATGCTTGTTTAAGTTAATGTGTGAGCCTAATAGGAGGACAGACCTACATTAATAACAGGCCTGGCTGTCTTTGCCACTAAGCTATTCAACAATGTTTGCTTTTCTCAGATCAGGTATTTTTCATCTGATGTATGTCTGACATGAAGGTCATGTTGCTGTTCAAGCAAACTAGCGAGAATTTAATTACAAATACAACAGTCAGAGGAAAGCAGAAAGCACTGGAATTAGAGCTGACTGCAATTAACATATTAGTGTAATTTTCACTATCATGATAGAAATGTGGATAGTCTAAGCCTATGATATTTATAATATTTGAAGTATTGCTTGTGAAATCATTGTCAAAAGATGTTTGATTCACCAGACAGGAGCTTTTTGAGCTTATCCATGTAAGTTGCTATAATCACTGGTAATTGATATGTATGTTAAAATGATTCCAAAATGTTCGTGAGATGCTAACTATGCTGAGCTTCAAAATATTATTGATCTTGGTGTGGACAGGCACATAAAATTAGTTAGAAAGGGCTATTCTGAATTTCTAGCAATACTGTGAGATGTTGAAATCAGTAGGGTGCTAGCATTTTTGGAGGTCATGCCTGAAGAAGCAGGTTGAACTGGTTTTTTCTTTAGTAGTGGAAAGAAAAAGACATTCTCAAAGGATGTTGTTTTTCCAAATGTAATGGATGTGAGAGATGATGGGTCTCCAGCCATCTTCTAAGTGCAATTCTGCCATCTGTCTCTTGAGCAGGGAAAAGTGTTTAATGAGCCTTTAATGGAACTTTGTGATTTCTTCAAACCCTTATCAGAGACACGACGTGTATCGATTCAGGTACCTTTGATAAGCTGCACTGCTGCAGTCCATGCTCCTCCTGAGTACAGATGTCCCTTTCAGGAGTGCACCTTGGGACAAACGCTGGGCTGGGAGATCTCCATGCTGCCAGATGTTCTGCAACAGCTGTTTTGGGCCTGTTGATCTTGACCAGCTGATGCTCAGCACTGCAGTGGTAGAAGAGGAACAGGTCTGGGTTCTTGGGGGCAGGACACCGCTCTGAGAGACACTGCAACATTTTAAGCCAAACTTGATTTTAATTTGGACTGCAGTCTCTGCTGCTCTGTTGTCTGTAGACTGTGGAGTGGTAGCCAGGCATCCCAAGCTGCCAGGTTTTTAGCTCCACTTGCTACCCATGGAGCCTGTTTCACACACAGTTCCACCTGAAGTCCTGTTGAGTGCTATTCTACACCCTTCTGGTAACAGTGTGATCTTATAGAGTGTATAAAAACCTAAATCTAAGATGGATGTGAAAAATTTTCCTTTGAACATAAGTAAAATAGCAATAATAATTTGATGTTATTTTTAATTAGCAGTTAATTGTGGTGTCTGGCAAATGATATTGTGCAGAATACATTGCAGTAATGTGGAAGTTCAGGAGTTGATTAAACCAGAGAAGTCTAAACCCAGTAGAAGCTCTTCCCTATTTACTCAGTTGTAGACAAAACCCTATCTTCGCACATTTGTGTAGGAGCTCTTAGAAGTCTGAAAACATTATCACATTGCCATAAGAGTAACTCCAACAGCCTCAAGTCTTTATTTCAGAGTCAGTGATGTTTTTATTCTCAAAAAAAGTCCTCGTGCAAAATGTTACGCAGCTGTCATGCCAGCAGAGCTTGATGGAAATGACAGAGTGAAGAGAACCCTCAAACACTGTTCAGCAGAGTTGATTTTAGCACTGTGGAGTAGCAGCAGACTGCTCTTTGAAATAGCAATCTCATTTCAATTTTAAATGTATTATTGTATCTTGCCTGTGATAGTATCGCTGCACTATTGTAGTGTTGCTGAGCCATCTTGAGAGAGCAGCTGGAAAGGTTTTCTGGGATGGGAGGTTGTGGCTCTGCAGACCCTTCTTCTCTGTCCCAGCAGTGTGGATGAGTATAGGGGAGGTTGGGTGTGTTCTCACTGGGGGGTTTCTTACAGTACCAGTCCTTGGAATGGGCTGCCATTTCCAAGTGGAAATCAGTTTTGGGTTGACTACTCCTCAGAAATTTTGTGAGGGCTAGTATTCATTGGTTAAAAGTGACTAAACGTGCATGAGTTTTGTTGGAAATGCCTCTTTGCTGCTGTCAGTGCATTAGTGATGTGTAGTGGGATTTTTATTATTTCAGTTGAACAGTGGAATTTTGCGAGGTTTTTTCCTTTTTTCCACTAGATGGCCCAAGCATGCTTCCAAGTACCCCATGAGAACTAAAACTTAATTAATTTCTCTTTTAACTGAAATAAAAACTCTACATTGTGAGGCATATACCAACCCGTGTGATGCTTTGTGTTTGTTTAAAATACAAACACCTTATATCAACCAAGAGAGTGTTGGTTAATGTAGGGAATATGTGGTAATGAAAGGTTATTTTTTCCTTGATTAGAACATTTTTTATCAAGTGTAGTATAAAGCTATTTAGTTTTGCATTGAGAAGAGAACTGGTGTGCTTTCATTGACTGTGCTCCACAGTAATTCAGGTAGTTCAGGGAGGGTCTGAAAAGGTGTTGATCTGAAGTTTGTCCGTAACATCTCCTGGGAGTGAGACTGGTATTTTGCAGGCCACCATAATTGATTTTTTTTGGGGGGTGGATGGAGTTTTGCTGCGTAGGGTTTTCATAACAGCTTTGCAGTTCATTTTGGTAGTGTATAGATGTGGGCAGTGGGTTCTGAATAGGCTGTTAAATGGACGGGACTAATTCAGTTTAACAAACATCAAGTAGAACTTGTTATCATGAGTGTCTTTTTGGTTAGTGGAGGAAGATGGATATATACTGAAGGTAGCTCTCCCATGGGGGTGATTGGACACTGGAATGAGGCTGAAGAAGTGGTAGGATGTTCATCCATAGAGAGACCTTCAAAACTCAACAGGACTGAGCCCTGGGCCAGCTCTGACTGGGGTATTGAACTACATGATCTTGAGAGGTCACCTTCAGCTTTAATTATTCAGCAATTCCAAAATGAGATTTTATTAGTTCCTTTGCTCTACTGCTGTGTAAACCAAAAATAAATGGAAAATGGATAGTTGTCTTTCTGAGCTAGTTGTAACCTCAGTATTTTGAATTAACTTCCAGCTTCCCTTTGCTTCTGAGGGCCTGGATGTGGTGGTATTAGACCACCAGAAAAAGGATGTCTGTGAGTGTACTTTTCTTCCTTAACTTGCAATCCCCACTGGGGGAAAAAAAAAAAAACAAACAAACCAAAAAAATCCCATTTAAAGGAAGTGCTCTTTTCCTTCATTTCACTGCTGCACTTGCCAAGTGCCATCTCTTGCCTTATCTTTGGTATTATTACTTCTAGTGTCTCTTTTTAACAGGTATGACAGATTTTCTCTTATTCCATTTCTTAGGATCTTTCCTAGATTTTCTCTTCTGCTCTTTTCCTTTATGGAAAAGAGACAGCTGTTGTCTCTTCCTCTGCATCTGACTGTATTCCTTTTTCCCTTCCTTTTCCCATTGTTAGTATTTGTCCTGTCCTGCCACTTCCTGCTTCTGTTCCCTTTCTGGCTGGAGACAAACCAATGTGTTCACATGTACCAGAAGGATGGACATAAATGGAGTATTTTGTGACAGGAATATTGCTGCCTGCAGTCAGTTCTGTAGACAGAGGTAATCTGCCCTAGTTCACAGCCCTACCGATACGTGTTCAGTGCTGCATTTGCAGTAGTTTGGTCTCTGTTCTAGTTTCTTCCAAAGTCAACAGCTTTCAGTTCATTGAGCAATGTGCCACTTGAGCCAGGTACAGAGAAATTTCTAAAGATACTGTTTTTGTGATAGATTTGTATGTTTAATGGGATTTCTTTCCTAGACTGATGTACTCTTTACTTTATGTAGGACATTGGCTGCATGGCCTCACAACTGCTGTTATTAGTAATACAGGCTTAACTTTGTTTGTTACTGGAAACTAAACTGATGAAAGCAATTCCATTTTTAGCATCCTAGTAGTGGAAAACATAGCCATAGGTATACTAAAATATTAGCAGCAGCATTTTTTGGTTAGTTGCATAAGTTATGGTTTAGTTCTGATTTTTTTTTTTTTTACTAAACAAATTTAATAGCAAGTATGAAATGGGGCATGTTTAAAAAGTTGTG